CATTCCGCAAAGTGTAATGTGCCCGATGTGGACTCTATCTCCATGCTAAACTTAATGTGTGGGTTTAAACTATTAAGATAGTCGTGGAAGCTGTTTACGTTATCTAGTTTGATTACAACAAACGTGTCGTCAACAACGCCAAAACCCAACAGAGGTTTAGCTTGACTTAGCTGATTGGTTCTCCTTCCGCCTTAAATCTCGATCAACCTCGGAACCTAGTCACTTGGCCTGACGTAGCTTTTGTGTCAAAAGCGAAACGTTGCCCAGTAATAAATCTACCAATTGTCACCAAACTTTTTCGAAAACTATATTTTCTTGTTTAAACAAACCGGGGATTGCGCCGTCACTCTTGAAATCCCATGCTGACAGTTTGCTTGCTAGTGTTAACATTTTGGTATCTGCCTGAGGTTTGTCTGTCATCACTGGAGCAAGTCCTGTCGCTTCCGGACTTCCACGCCTCCAGGACATTTCCACACACCTGGAAAACTGCATCCCGTCGCCGTCGTTAGTTAGCCCATCGGATGCCGGTCAACCGAAAGCATATCCGCCGAGCCAACTACGCCGCCATCCAGACCCTATACCACCAAAGACGGAAAGATGCAGCGTCTGTAGAGCTTGATGGGCCATGGAAGGATCTATATGAATGTAACTGCCGAGCGATTTGGGAACAGATGGTCTTTTTTCCAAAACACGTGGATAGCTGGACAAGTAGCGTAGCAGTACCATCCGATTGGGGCATGACCGAGGCAATTACAGAAGAGGAAGTCGGTCGTACGATCTGTCTAATGGGCAATTCGTCTCCAGTCCTGGACAAGCTCACGCTTCGCCGGTTCAATGCTGACGCGCGAGTATTTCAACTTACTCCCATATCTATGTCGTGCCCGTATTACCATAGTTCCAAAGATCCCAAGTACGATTTTACTGGACCAACTGCGACCGATCTCCGTGTCATCTATCCTTTTCCGATGCTTTCATAAGATGCTTGCTGTTCCCTGAAAACACCATCACTCTAGTTTGCATTCTTACATCAAGACGGTTGTTTGGAAGCTACATCGCTGTTACATGCCCTGCTTTGTAACTCTTTAGCGACTGCT